TTTTTGAACATTAAAGCATGTCAACATATTCTGTTACACCAAATACACAAAATAATGATCTTTAAAAAAGCATCATATGACCCCTTTAAGAAAATTCTTTGATTTCTTTCTTCAGAAGATTTTCATGAGTGCAGCCCCTGATAACACCAAAGTCTGTCATGTTCTTCTTAAAAAATTAAATAAGATGCTCTTAAGAAAATATATGAGAACTTGAGAATTCTTTAACAATTGCACTTAGGAACATTCTTACGACCTTCTTAGAATTTAAACTTTAAGAAATTTCTTAACTTCTCCCTTGAGAAGAGTTTCGTGCCTCCCAAAATCTCAAGGTGCAAAAAGACAGGCAGGAAGTTGTCTGGGTACAGTAACCTGATGCCCCTTCAGCAGGATTACAGGCCAGTTTGGCAGCTCCAAGGACGCTTTTGTGCCCTAAAGGGGCCCAGTGCATGCTGGGAGAGAGAGCAGCTGCAGAGCCGGGCATTTAAATTCAAATTTCTGAAGGAACAGACAATAAGCCTCCACCTGGGGTTAGCCAATACATATGCACTTCCTGCTGGGGTCTGGCCTTTTGTGACCGCCCTGTTTTTTGGAAAGAGCTGGGAGATTGACACACCGCAGCACTGCGCTTCATTCCTTCACAGATCGCTCGAGTGGACTTAATCCCTGAGTTGGACAATATTTACAGATCATTTGCATGAATTACGGTTTTCCCACCAAGAAAAAGACACCAGCTTACTGCTGAGAAAACCAGCGAGGAGATCCAGAGCGTCTTAAAAAAGTCCCGAAATAACTTTCTCAAAATTCGCATGATGCAAATGAGCCATGAATAAAAGCTTTATCAATATTTGAGGAAGGTTATGAAATATTTACCCTGCCTCTGGAGCGGGTGAATTAAAGCAACATCAAAAGAAACACGAGCAGCTACTATCGGCCTCCCGTATGGAAACCACATACACTTCAGTAATTGAGCTGTACGAACAGAATCTGAATGGCTCTTGACATGTTTTGCCCCCCGTAGATGCCAACTGGACGTTTTATTGACTCCCTGCTCTTCTGTTACACTCAGAAGGAGATAAGAGGGTCGTCTTATGGGAATCGGGCTCGGGTACAACAGAGGAACTGAATTACACCAGCGGTCTTCATTATTTATATGGATCAGACACGATAGTGCAGTCGTATCGCAACAGGATGCCTTACGGAGGCTCATGTACTACACGCTGGAGGAAACACAACATACAGTACACAAACACACAGCTAGCTCTGCAAATATACACAATCTATTTATGAGTTTTAATGTCATTGCAAACCCTTTCTTTCTATGACTTTCTTTCTGTGGAAGACAAATTAAAATTTTGTTTGTGATTAAGCATGAAAAACGGCTCTATAAAAGTAGTCCATACAACTAGTGCACTATATAAGTCATCTAAAGTCATAAAATAGCTTTGTGTGAGAAAGACAGAATGTCAAGTTGATATTCACTGAAAATCTTCCCCATCAGCATACTCTCAAAGCTCATTCACGCTCATGTTAAAGTAAAATACAATGTTTTGCACCAGGTTTGACATCAATGATTGGTCTTCACATATCGTCATTGACATCAAACCCTTTAAAACAGAGGTTTTCAGACCGGAGCCCACCAGGGACTGCTACAAACAAATTTCACCGTTAAAAAAAAGAAGAATTAAAAATTACAATTTGAGAATTAACCTGCTTTTTGGAATGCATCTTACTTAATTGCAGTACAATACTATTGAGCTATAAAACATAAAATAAAATAAATAATATACAAAATATATTATTATTATTTACTGTAATAATAATGTATAATTTAATATATAATCAATATATAATTGATATATAATCTACAGATATATAGATAGATAGAAATACTTTTTTTTCCACACTCACCATTCTTAAAAAAAATTCTAAAATGAATAAATCGAATATTTAATATAATAATGTTATTAAAAACAATATGCATT